GCAGCACAGAGCCACCTGTGGTGAAGGTGCTGTAGAGAAGCGAAGAATTGCCCTGCCATGGTACAGAGAAAGTCTAGGGGGTTGCAATCTCCACAGGCCCTGCTCAGAAACAGGAGGCACAGATATCTCAACTATTAGATTCTCTTAATTTATCTGGGCCTCGGCTAAAGACACACATATGTCAAAAATCATTTTGCTTATTTTCCCAATTTCCTCTCCCTTGCTCCAGAAGCCATGCTTGCACATCACCCAACAATTTTTCTGTGCCCTGAATTCCCTCAGGGCATTCACCAAGGCTTTTAGAGTCAAGAAAAGCCTTATCTCTGCTTTTCTGCTGTAATGATCCTTCTGTAGGCATGGGGGTGGATGGGGTAGGGAAGGGCTCTAGGGACATCTAGAAAAGAACATAAGTTAACATTTCAGAAATGTTATCATTCAGTTTTCTTTTTTCCCTTCAAACAAATCCTGCCAAAATTTTGCCAGTAACATCTTTCTTAAGCTCTATCTGGTATTTCTGAATTATAACAAACCCTTAAATTCAAATTTTAAATATAGAAGAACTTCTGCCAATATTTATATTTCACTGATAGCCTTACATTAAGGCTTTTATCCTTCTAATTAATTCAAAATATTGATAGTGGAATAAAATATCTGGCCTTTAGCTATCGTGTCAGTTTATAATTTTCTTATCAAATATTTTGTTATTAAGACCAAACCAATCTGACTGGTTATTTAATATGATTGAAATAAGATTAATTCTTGAGAAAACTTTTGGATAGCAAATTCTGTGTAGAAAAGTACAATTCTTTTTGGTGTCCTAACTAAAATTGGTAAAGGTATAGTTGTACGTACTAAATCAGCATAGATGAGGCTTTATGGCTATGTCTGAGTGATATCTCAATAGCTAATTAAAAGTGAAAGATGATGTGAACCAACACTTTTTTTGTCATCATCTATCCAATGCATATTTTAAAACTGAATTTTAGGGTGTATCAATCAATTATTGCTACAATAATTTGGCATAAATAAACTACTACAAAACTCAGTAGCTCGAGATCAACCATTTGTTCACACAGATCTTGGATTGGGTGGGCTGGAGCTTGGTTGATGTAGGCTGGGGTGGCTGGGGCAGCTCTGCTTTTCACTGCAAGTCTGCGGTGTCTTTGCTCCATGTCTGTGTCCTCCTTGGACCAGCAAGCTATTGAGGAAGATTTTTTTCATGATCCAAGAAATCGCAGCTACAAAAAAGGAAGAGGAAAAATATGTCACAGGCTCCTAGAAGCCTAGACCTGGAAATGACACACAGTTACTTCTGCCCCATTCTGTGGGCCAAGGCAAGTTACTCCACCTAGGCCAAAGTCAAGGATTGGGAAGTGAATTTTGTCAATGGTGAGACCATGGCAGGGTGTGAATATAAGAAGGTGTGAAGTTACCAAATCTACATTAAATGCATTAGTTGTTAGGGATTGGTTTTTGGTTTCAGTTTTCCATGTTTTAATCTAGTTTGTTAGATATACCCTTTTGCTATCTTTTATTTAATTCTCATAAAGCTTTATATAGTATATTTAAAATCTTCCCATTATATAGTTGGTAACAAAAAAAATCTCTTAATCTTAAATGCCAACTTCTGTATGAAGATTCTCACATATGATGCTTGACAGAGGACTTCAGCGAGAGGGGCCTAGATGGATCATAAGACGCACTTTCTTTGGATGCCTGGGTGGCTTAGTCGGTTAAGTGGTTAAGTGTCTGCCCTCAGCTCTGGTCATGATCCTAGGGTCCTGGGACTGAGTCCCACATTGGGAATCATTGCTCAGCAGGGAGCCTGCTTCTCCCTCTGCTTATGCTCTCTATCCCTTTCTGACAAATAAATAAATATGCTCTATATCCCTCTGCTTATGCTCTCTATCATATATATGATATAATGTAACATATCTGCAATATTTACCATTTTATAATATACGAGTAGAGTGATTTTTTTTTTACTAGTAGAGTGTTTTAACAGCATATTAGAAAATAAAATCAACCGCATATTAGAACATCACATCTTTCACTTTAACAAATAATTAATTTAAAAATTCCATTTTGGGGGCACCTGGGTGGCTCAGATGGTTAAGCGTCTGCTTTCGGCTCAGGTCATGATCCCAGGGTCCTGGGATCGAGCCCCACATCGGGCTCCTGGCTCAGCAGGGAGCCTACTTCTCCTTCTCCCTCTGCCTCTCCCCCTGCTCCTGCTCTCTCTCTCTCTGTATCTCTGTGTTTCAAATGAATAAATAAAATCTTTAAAAAAAAAAAAATTCCATTTTGGGGCACCTGGGTGGCTCAGTTGTTAAGCGTCTGCCTTTGGCTCAGGTCATGATCCTAGGGTCCTGGGATTGAGCCCCGCATCGGGCTCCCTGCTCCGCGGGAAGCCTGCTTCTCCCTCTCCTTCTCTCCCTGCTTGTGTTCCCTCTCTCGCTGTGCCTCTCTGTGTCAAATAAATAAATAAAATCTTAAAAAAATAAAAATAAAAATAAATAAAAATTCCATTTTAACTATAATGAAATGATAAAGAATAAAATAATATTATCCCCTGAATACCAGCAAAAATTATAAGGAGATATAGACTTCCATATTTTCCTTGTTAATGTAAATATTTGGGAGGAGCCCTCCACAAAAGCCCTTTGTTTTGTAACCAACCCACCTGGCTTTAAGTCAGAGCTCCATTATATAACAAAGGAAACTCTCTTTCCTTTTGGCCCTTACCCTAGTAAATAAACTATTTACCAGGAGTTGCTTTTACCTGGGGGAAATTTATCTCTACAACCACTCCTTTTGAGGCAATGATGCTTAATCATAAAGCATTTCACTCTTCAAAAAGTATAAGTCCATATTGATCATTTTTTAAGTGGTTTGGTCTTTATAGAGAACTCTACTTTCTTATAATGATATGATGAGTTTGTTTTTTCACTAATTTCAGAGAAATCTATGATTGCAACATCAGCTTTTGTACATACTAGAGGATGGGCTTAATTCTGCACTGCTGGTTTTTGCCTTCAATCAATTCAGCTTACTTCAGAGGAAATGTGAATGTTGTTTTAAAAGCAGGTGTGGGGGATTATAGTTATGAGACAGATTGTAGAATCCTTTCATAGGTCCAAGCAAATACCTCTGTCAGTTTTCTCTTTCTGCAGCTGCTTCATTGTCATCTCTCCATGTCTTACTTAAGCTTTGCTAGGGCCTTGTTACTCAAAGTGCGGTCCAGGGAGCTACAGCATCAACACCACTGGAGAGCTTGTTAGAATTCAGAATTTCAGGCCCAGTTCCTGATTTACTGAATCCAAATTTGCACTTTAACAAGATCTCCAGATTATTCGTATGCACGTTGCACTTCACTTCAAGAAGCTGTGATCTAGGCGAAACTTGAAAATGCACATTCTCTGAAAGCATTTTAAAAGGCAGGATTTATTCCAGCAAATACTACTTTCCAATGTAAGATCTATAAATGAGGAACCCCTCCCCTCCACACACACAATTACATGCAAAAAAGCCTTTACATGATGGGAAGAGCAGTAGAACTGAAGCCTGGATGACTTAACAGGGAATCCCAACTCCAAAAGAGGAAGGAACAAACATACTATTAAAGAAATATTTGTAAACAAAGTGAAGGAAACATCATTTAAGGGGGAATCCTACAGGCTAAGTTGGCCAAGTTGCTTACAGGGAACTGGCAGTTCTTTTTATTTCTATAAACTGAAGTCTCCTTGGAATGTGAAATCAAGAATTACAAACTGGGTAGCAGCCAAGATGAATTTTTTTTTTTTGGTAGGAAAGGTCCTGAGCTATATTAAACTATCCCATTAGCCACACCCAAAAAAGTATTGTCCTGTAGCAAGATTTGAGGCACCACTGGCCCGTTAACTTTATAAGAAGACAGAGTGGTTTTTTAGGGACTGCTTAAAGTAGCCCAAACCCATCTTGCACAATGAAGTGTTTCATGCTGGGCAGACTTCCCTGCAGATTTTAAGGCTGGGGAAATTTTCCTTTACAAATCTGAATATTTCTTCAACTCTAAGCATCATAAAATCATGAAAATCTTTAGATGAATCCCTAGTTCAATATGCAGCATAGAACCTGCCTGCATTTAATCTGTCCCAGAGAGATTAATGCTTATCATTCCCAAAATTCTTCCAGGAAAAATATTTTATAATCTCCTTTTTGTCATTTCCCTTTGTTTGAATTTATTTATGATCACAGTCTTATTGCATGTATCTACTCTAATAAAATTTTCACATAAGAGAATTCCACTTAGGCTTTCTCTCAGAAAAAAAAATAGTTTTAATAAAATTGTTTCTTTGTACAAAATCTTTCACGTTTCATGTGGCCCTTCAATCACCTTTAGAATAAATAATATCAATAACTGGCTCTTTTTCAGGGGTCTATTTCAAATTTTTAATTATGATAAGATTCTTCCTCTCATCTAAATAAAATGTATGTAAATAATTCAGTTGATTGCTCACCTGTTTCTTCCACATAACAAATGATTTTTTGATGTTTTATTTCCAGTGCTTTGACTATGCTCCTTTCATCCCCTTCCGCCCCCTACATGGCCCCTGCACAAGAAGCCCATGAAATTGATTGAGTATGCCAAGTACTCTGTGGAGATTTTCATTTTGTTTATATTATTTAACTTAAAATAATGTGGGCTATTCCTGTGACAGCCTCAGGTAGGTCATATCTAAACTGGAGAGGAAGGTTTGGTTTATCTTATGCTTCATATTATATATTCTAGAGCCATGACTTCTCATTTTCAATATTGGTCCCTATTTTAATACTGATTAGTGATTATCTGTCACTTTGTAAGAAAATATGTATGTAAAAAGTATTTGCCATTTCATACACGTCCGTTTGGTGATTTCTTTAATTGGGTGCGTTGTAGTTTACAAAGTTTTAATCAGAAAGAATATTAAACTTTGTTAGATCATTTTTTTTTTTGTTTTGTTTTGTTTTGTTTTTTTGTTTGACCATCACGTACTGAGTTTATTTGTGCTCTAAAATATTTAAATATCAACATGCACCTTTTCCCTGAATGACTTCACGGGTCATGGCCAACATAGAACTTGGAAAGGAAATCCTTTGGCCTCGGCGCTTCTGTTTCATGGAAGAACCGCATGATGTGTGTCCGCTGCTTCCATACGTTAATCGTTTCCTCCAGTTCCATCTTTCCCTTAATAACCAAAAGGTCCACCACCCTGGGGTCTGTGACGTGGGCATTCTTCATAAACATTTCTCGGACTTTATCCCGTTCTTGCTTCACGGTGATGTCTAGCTGGAACAAGTTCACAGTGTTCGGCACCTCTCGATACCAGGCGCGGTACAACTCGCGCACCCTCCGCTTGGCTTCGTTCATGTCCCGACTAAACATGGGCTTCACTGAAGTGGGAGCCGCAGCAGCGGCCCGCCGGAGGCCGCTCGCCGCCATCTTGCTCTGTTAGATCATTTAAGACAAAGTTCGAAAGACATCAAGATCATATTTTGTGGTCCATTTAGTTTTTCTTTGTCTCACAGGTAAACTTTGTAAACCTTTACCCTTCACAGCCAGCTAGTGTTCAGTTCATTGGACTGTATGGGAAAGGGGAGGAGGAGAAAAAGGAAAGGAAGAGAAGAATGGGTGGATGGATCAGCGCTAGTCCTTGCCAACACTGGGAAATATAAAGTCCGTGCCCTATGGTAGGGCCTAGCATTATTATTATTATTCCAAAGCACAGACAGCATTATTATTTTAGATGTGAGTGAAGAATCAGGAGGAGAAATGATTCTGGGGATCACAATAGTTGTTATCACTATAGAAAAAATGTTACATTTTTATATGTGTACAATGGAAGACTATAATGTTGTTCTATAATAACACCTAATACCTTAGTAAAAATTACAAATATATGTATAATTTTTTTACTAATATGCATATATACATACAAGTGCTATCACACACTACTATTGCAATTTTAAATTGTATAAGCCTATTGAAAAGCAATATGACAATATACAACCACACCATTAATATGATTGCATACTTCAATCCAATTTTTCTGCTTTTGAAAATTTATCATGAGAAAATTACCCTATAAGAGGAAAAAAAATCATATATGGTTTTCCCTGGGATTTCTAAGATTAAACAACTGATAATAAGACTAGATAAATTATTAAAAGATTTACCAACTGACAAGAAATTTCCAACCAAGTGAGAAAAGATACAAAATATGGCCTCTGTTTAGAAAAATATATGCTTAGTCTAAAAAGAAATTAATACTGTAATTATTAATATTTTATGTGTCAAGCTGTCAAGTACTGAGGAGAAATATCATCATTGTGCTTTTGATACATATAAAGATGTCTTTGTTAAAGATAGTGAAATTTTATGAAATTTACAACAGATAGGAATAATGGTATTTGAAAAATATTTTTCTGACCTAAGCTAAAGTGTAGGGCCTAGAGCTCAGATCATAAAGGGAAGGAAAGGGTGTGCTCAGGATAGCAGGGTGTGAGGCTTGGGGAGGGCTCAGGGGTCAGCAGGGGACAGAGTGAGGAGGGTACAGGGAACTCAGTTACCAGTTTGAGGGGAGCTCTTACCACTGAGGACTTGGAACTGACTCCACTGATCAGAGAAAGGGGAAGAAAAGGTGCTTCTCAGGGCAGGAAAGGTGACATGACTGAACGATGAATGAAAAAGAAGAATTTGGCTGGAAGGGAGAACAAATTTTTGAATAGCTATGCACACATGCTAGAAATAGCAAATCATCTCTGTAGTGATTAAGAACCTAGACTCTGGTGTCAGATTCTTTTGGCTCAAATCCTGACTCCCATTATGATCTTGGGAAAATCCCTCAACTGCAGGGCAACAGTTTACTCTTCTGAAAAATGGGGATGATGATAAAAGCCATATCATAGGGTTATCACACAGATTAAATAAATGCCTAGCAGGTAATAAATGCTCACCAAATATCAGTGTTAGTGTTTGTACCAGAGATATTCTCCTGCTGGTATCAGGCATGAAGGATTCCAGCCAGTTTCCCCTCAGTAAAAGAAGCATGTTAATCCTTGCTACTTGCCTCACTGGGAAATTGTGTGTTTACCCCTGCAGCTTTCCAAATGACTTCTTGTTTCACTGTCCCAGTTAGCTGAGCCAGCAGTTGGCTGGAACCGGTATGCCATTCAGCTAGAGAAGCAGGTCCTGCTTACTGCCCTTCCCTCCCCTTTTGTTACTGGCAGGTGCTTGATGACAAGCTACTGGGAGGCAGGGAAAGTAAAGAATGCTCCAAAGATGACCTTTTGCTCTGATCTCTTCCTGATGCATTTATATGTGGGAGAAATATTTGCCCTTGCTTACGTGCTGTTTCCCACTCTGAGTCATGTCTCTTCCTTTCTCTCATCATTTTCCACCCCTACCTTTTCCTATAATGGCAAAAACCACTTCTCTGGCCGTGCAGCCAAGCTGAGTGACCTAACACGTCCAAGTGCAGGCAGATAGGTGCCTCTGTCCTATTTTTGGATAATTGTTGAAGTGGTGTCCTCTGATTTCTCTGACTGCTGCATGGTCTTCTTTCTTTGCTACAGACACGTGGCAACAGTGAACAGCACAGAGAGGCAAGGTGGGAGAGAGACAGATGGTCAGAAGTTGTAGTTCTGTTTTTACTCTAACTTTTGCTTTTCTGCATTGTCTTTAGGGCACATGGTGGTAGCAGAGCCTTCACACCCGCTTCCAGGGCCCTTTTCCTTCAATAAAACATAACTAACCTTTCTTTATGGAAAAAAGAAAAGTCTTTAGATGACTTCAACTCCCTTTATCCCTGTTCATTTTCCATTGTCCCCTTCACTAGAGATTTGGGGGCAGGAATGTCCAAAAGCAAAGCTGTGATGGGTGACGATTGTGACTTTGGAGCCTCCTATTTTCCCTTTTTCTGTCCCAACTTCCTCTTTGGTACTCTCATGTGGAGCTCAGGTCAAAGCCCTCACTCTCAGGTCCCTTATGTAGTTTTCAATATCCCCTTCTCAGGTCCTTCATTCACATAAAGTAATGGATGACTGCTCATAGATTGAAATGTTACCCCACCCAAGGGCATCTTTTACTTAAACAGTCATCCAAGTGTAAGGTTCCATTGGTGGTAGTTCAGATATAGTCCAAAGAAAAAGGCTGAGGAGGGGGGTGCCTGGGTGGCTCAGTCATTAAGCGTCTGCCTTCGGCTCAGGTCATGGTCCTGGGGTCCTGGGATCGAGCCCCGCATCGGGCTCCCTGCTCAGCGGGAAGCCTGCTTCTCCCTCTCCCACTCTGCCTGCTTGTGTCCCCTCTCTTGCGTTCTCTCTCTTTCTGTCAAATCAATAAATAAAATATTAAAAAAAAAAAGGAAAAAGGCTGAGGCAGGTACAAAAATGTCTTAAAAATATAACAAAGGGTCCCTTCTTTTGCTCATTTTGCCGTTTGGGGGTGAACAGGGAGAGGAAACTGGGATGATTAAATTATGGAAGCCTGAATTGTTTTTATTCCTAAAAATTATTGCCTGAATATCTAGTATATCTTTATCCTCCGCTTCCTCCTCCTTTAATTCTTTCCCTTGTCCTTCCATACACATAGATATACCTTGAAGGAAAGAAATACACTAAATCCTGGTTTATGATAAGTTGTGTTTAGTGGTGGTAATCTTTCACTGCAGTACTACCTACATTTTTTTTTTTTTAGTTTCTTAATGTGTAGGCTTTTTAACATTCTTTAAGCTCTTTTTACCTTAAATAAACATTCTAAAACAACAATTTGCAAGCTAAAGAAACTGAGCCATTTTTATATGATTATTATGCTATTTAATTTGTCCTGGATTCAAATGAGACGATGTATCGGACTGTGTTTTCTAAAATGTAAAAAACTCCATAAAACAGTCTTTTACTATTAAACATTTCAAAATGAGAAATAGGATAGTAAAAGAAATAGCAATATTTAAAAAATACCAGAATGTTTCCAAATGAGCTTTTAAGTGCTAGTATTTCCTACCCCTGAGATGTGAAAATACATTTCATTTGGATAAGAGAATTGAGAGTAAGGACAAGCATTACCCCAAAGGATGAAATACACCTAACCTGTTTTACATACATTTTTGTTGTCCCAACTTGATTCATGAGTGAGAAAATGGCAAGAAAGGAAATCTTATTAGACTCAGTACATTTCAAACCTCTCTTGAAAATAAAGAAAATTATGAAGTTGAAATGTGATTCCCATCTCAGCTCTGCAGTCATTCCTAGTTTTCTTCAATTATTTATGCACATGGTCATTCATTCAGAAAATAGTGATTGAGCTCACTGACTGCTGGCCATCATTTCAGAATCTCCGGAAACACAGATGAAGTCAGGTTTTTGGTTCTCAAAGACCATCTAGCAGTCTAGAGGGGTTTAACAGGGTTAGTTTTACCATGTGGGAAGTGATAATAGGGGTTTGCACAAGGTTTTATCTGAAGACACAGAAGAGGCACTTGATGTGGAGGAGTTTTAGAAGCGGGGGTAGGACAGGCCGCGAGGAGGGATGTTGGTATGGGGACAGAGGAGAGGGTTGCGCACACAAGAACAGAATGGCACTTCCGTGAGGGCTAGAGTAGGCACTGGCTGAAGACAGCAATGGGTTGAGAGTGAAGGCCTTGTATCCATAGTTTAAGAGTTTGGATTTTGGTCTAAGGGCAGTCACATACAATTGATTGTTTTATGCAGGAGAATGTCAGGGGAGTTTTGATAAGATCACTTTATTTTTTGAAAAGGAATATGGATTGGAGAAGATCATTGAAGGCTGGAAGTGAGGCCCATTAAGAGGCTGTGACAACTAGCTAGGCAAAAGATGAAGACGGCAATGATTACGGTCTTATAGCAGTGATTTTGGTAGAAACATCTTCAAATAAAATATATTTTTAATTAATTAAAAAATAGAATTAAACATTATTTTCAGAGAAAATGTAACAACAATAATCAGAATTGTTAAAGATCTAGGAATCCCCATCATGGAGAATCAAAGGCACATACTCATTTTCACAATCAAGATTGAAAAGTAAATGTATTCGTTATTATCTTTATAGCACATCAGCGCTCTAATTGATAGAAAATTTGTGACTTTTAAAAAATTCCTGGTCTGAACAGCTAGATTGGTTTGCATATACATAGGCAAGTCTTTATCCTACTGAAGTCACAGAAAGCAATGAGATGGGAAGCTCCTGAGATCCTTTAGTTCAATTCTTTCATTAGAGATAAGAAAATTGAGACCCTGAGATTAAACCCCTTGCAGGTGACACACCTCAGTAATGGCAGTGCTGAGACTGCAATCCAGATGCCTAATCGGGAGGTCAGGGCCCTTTTCATTGTACTGGAACAGCTTCCCAAGAAAGGCATCTAAATAAATTAATGGGATGTGGATGACTATTGAAAAAAGGAGATTTTTAAGTTCTTCAAAACTATAAAAAGCATTTTAGAAAGCCAAACACCTGCTTTATTATTAGAGGGTGGTCATTTTTCCAGATTAACTGACGAGAAAATCCATGCCAATATCAGCAACTACTCTTCTCATACTCACTTTCCAAAAATAATTTTGGACTCTAGTCTGGCTTCATGGTACCAGCATCCAAGTACATGTGATTTATATTGTTTTACTTTCTTATTTAAAAAATTGAAAACAGAAATATCAGTTTATTTAGGATTAGCAAGAGACTTCCATTTCATGAGGAAGATGAAGTATGATGGGTTTGTGAACAATTCATTGTGTTTACTATTCATCAAATGATAGAAAAATTTATAGGGAACCTGCTTAAGTGCTGGGAAAACAAATAAATTACCAATCCCATAATTTTTCACGAATATATTCCTGAATAAGCAGTAACTCATGTATTTTTTTCTATTATGGGTTTATAAGGTTTAAAAAGGTTCTTTATTGATCAGTTTCTTATCTAATGTAATAAAAACAATGAACACATTTTATGGGTTTTTAAAAAGTTTATTATAAATACTCATCATTTGCCCCACCCCCAAATAAAAGAACCAACATATTTGCATATGAAACCTGAATCCACTTGGTACAAAATTTCAGTCTTTGAAATAAAATAGTTAATGGCAAATCTCAAAAAAATTAATTTTAATGAATAATCAATGCTATTCAGAAATAAGGAAATCATATGTCTCACTTGCTAAAAGTTAATGGTTTGCTATATATTTTGGCTTTAAAACTTATTGATAGCTATTTGAAAAGATATGATTTATTTAAGCTTATGATTTAAATGCATATTTTATTAACCAAATACTTTTGGCCAATCAACATATCTAAATATTTTTAAAAACACTTTAAATACAACTATATAGTTGTATAGTTTATAGTATAACTGTAAAGTCACAAGACTGATCTTTTTAACTAACATAAAACCTATGTAGTCAAATGAGTGGTAATATTTTAAGGTAATCAAGAGAATCTTTTCTAAGGATGCTACAATGGCCTAGAGGCAGTTTTGAAGTCTCTTTTGTAGCTTCTCTTCAAAAGGATAGGAGTTTCATAATTTAATCATTTGTTTACTTTGGCCCCCAATAGTATTCCAGTTAAATCATCCTTTATATTCACCAGTCCTGGCAATCTGGAAAAGTAAAATTAATCTTCACTGAATGAAGATTTGTCATCTATGAAGATATTCAAAGGAATGTTAATTCAGGTTCTGATAATTCTGAAATTTGAGCATTTACAAACTTTTAAGATGTGTAAATTATAGTAACCACTTACATCATAGACATCTTTTGTACATGCCTATCATTGTGGAATAATGAGATTTTTAAAACAACAGTGACTCATAACATTGAAATAGGACTCTACAATTCAAAAGTGATAAGAATAATTTTATACTGTGTAACAAATCCCATATCAGACAACATCATGAAAGTCTGTATCTGTTAGTCTTTTACATATATATATATATATATATATATAGTAGCTCAATAGCATGGGCCCAAAAAATTGACAACTTTCCTGTAAGTCTCTCTCCATGAATCACTGTAGTTGAAATAGTACGTAAGTGTCAGAAATAGCCTTTATGTAAAATGTTTATTAAATAGCACCAGTATTACTTGAAGGTAAAGTGAGACATTAACAAGAACGCATTACAAGTTTAATTTCTTTTTTTTTTTTTTTTAAGATTTTATTTATCTGAGAGAGAGAGAGAGACAGAACGCAAGCAGGGGAAGGGGCAGAGGCAGGGGCAGAAGGAGAAGCAGAAGCCCCAACTGAGCAGGGAGCCCCATGTGGGGCTCGATCTCCAGACTCTGGGTTAATGACCCGAGCCGAAGGCAGACACCCAGCTGACTGAGCCACCCAGGTGCCCCACAAGTTTAATTTCTAACTACAAGAGCGAAAGCATCTCCCAGATGAAATACCAGTTAGATTTGGATTAATTTTAAGGTCACAGCCAGAAAAAGTTCAGTCATAAAACATTTCAGGATTTTGCTTGGAAAAGTTGGAAAGAAACACCTTGTATATCGCTCTTTTACATTCTATTCCCAAAGAAGATATATATGCTTACATAATCAAGACAGTGCAATCTCACCAATGAAGGCCCCATGAAAGAGACATTTACTCATTCTATATATTAGTTCAACAAGATAACAAATATAATAAAAGTACTTAAAAGCAATCTGATTAGAGCAACATTTACATTAAGTACAAAATATACAGTACAATGAAACATCTTATTAAATAGACCTGTAGGTTAACAATATCTTATTTAAAGGTACACACATTCATTATCTATTTTCACATTTATTTGTCCTATTATATTTGATAGCGCCTATCACCACTGCATGCTTTTGTTACTATAATTTCTAGGATCTTTGTATATTTTTTTTGTAAGTATTCCCATGACTTTATCTGCAAAGGTAATTTTAAAAGTATTACTTTCAGAGTAAAAAAATAAGAAATTCCATATTTTTACAAGCAGTTGTGCACAAAACTATTATAGTGTTTGAGAAATGTCCCTTGATCTTTATAAATTCATCATTATAAAATGTATACTTTTGTACTAAAGTAAAAACTGCGTTTAAAATTAAGTGTTGCCAACTTACTGTACAATTCTGGCTCTAAAGTTAGAAGTGAAATCCTTGACTCTTAATTAGAAAAGCATTATTTGAAAAGATCTGCCAATAAACATTTCTAAATGTGGTTGCCAATCTTAAAAATTTTCTTAATTAGAACAGTTGGGAACGCTTAGAACAGAACAGTAGTGCTTTTACATTATAACAACCAAGAAGTATTACAGTATCCAAATCTCCAGACCTGGGGTCCAAGTGTTCAGTCATGACTCAGTTGCAGGCTGACAGAAGAGAAGCTGCGTCCTACACTTGTGCACAATGGGGCAATGACAACATCTGTTACACTCTTCCATATTGTCTGCACTGAAGGCAGGACCATTAGGCAGGTCTTTACAAAAGGCATTATAATCCTGGAAGGGAGGAAGAGATTTGTGTAAGGATTATTGGTGTTGCCAAAAAAGGCCAATGACTCTTGCACATGCATGAAAAGATGTAATAATGGCCTAATTCACCTAAATTGGAACATTTGAAACAAGTAAACAGTGACCCACATAGTGATAAAATGCACAGAGATATGTTGCTTAACAAAATAAACAGGCACGTAGATGGTAACACCAGTATTCTTTCTCTAGGTGGCATGCTATCTGAAAAAAATAAACAGGCGGGGCGCCTGGGTGGCTCAGTTGGTTAAGCGACTGCCTTCGGCTCAGGTCATGATCCTGGAGTCCCAGGATCGTGTCCCGCATCGGGCTCCCTGCCCCGCGGGGAGCCTGCTTCTCCCTCTGACCCTCCCCCCTCTCATGTGCTCTCTCTCCGTCTCTCACTGTTGCTCTCTCAAATAAAAAAAATAAATAAAATCTTTAAAAAAAAAAAATAAATAAATAAACAGGCACGTAGATGGTAACACCAGTATTCTTTCTCTAGGTGGCATGCTATCTGAAACAGTAAAACAAAAAATAAATAAAATGGTAAATGTATCTACCTGATCTCTGCCCCTAAACATTAACCTGCTTAATTCTTCATATTTCCCTGGAGTTGTGCTTGCTGGTAGCCTTTCCTATTGCCTCATTCCACTTCCCTACCCCTTGGGCCAGGCTGGGTTGGACACTCCCTTTTTGTGCTTCTAAAGTACTACAGCAAATTTTTTTTTTTTTAAAGATTTTATTTATTTATTCATGAGAGAGAGAGAGAGGCACAGGGAGAAGCAGGCTCCCAAGGAGCAGGGAGCCCGATGCGGGACTCGATCCCAGGACCCTGGGATCATGACCTGAGCCGAAGGCAGACGCTTAACCATCTGAGCCACCCAGGCGCCCAAAATTTCTTAATCCTTAAATTTACCAAAGGGTGTCATAAGTAGATGGCTATACTTCTGTCTTTTCTACTAGAATGGAAGCTCTTTAAGTGAAGACATCCTTGACCTTTATTAAAGGTTGGGCTGAAGTGAACTTAGCACTGTCATGCTTAGTATTACTAATTTTTCACAATTACATACACTGAAAAGAGCTGTGTGGTAGAGTTAAAAGAACCCTGCAATTATGTCAGAACTCTTAAGACAAAACAAAACAAAAAAACCCAGACTATCCTGAAATTATTTTTTCCATATGTCTTTTCTTAAGATGACTGCAAATGTTCATATTCCTCAGGCTGATTAATTTTCTCTGTAATCCTCTGAATAATGCTCTCTATTGTAGTAGTGCTATTTGAGCACAAAAGTATCTTTGAATTCTCAGGAATTGCTGGTAGCCTGAATGGAATTTTTATTATTATCTGGATGGGCACAAGGAAGTAAGGTTGATTTTCTTGGTTTGCTATTAAAATGTGACTTAAATAAAGGTCTGTTGTGCTTAGCCAACAGTGAAGGGAAGATCGGGCAACTGTCTGAGATATTTTTAGAATACTGAATTATTCATATGGACTGCATACACATTTATATTTATCTCATATTTTGTTCCAAGTGCTAAAGACTTAAAGAAATTTTTAAAGAAAATTAATTACTAGGTGTTTCAAAGCTAAACAGTTGAATAGAAACCCGAATGATGACAACTTTTGACTTTTTATCCCATTATGTTTCTCACTTGATGTGTGGCCTTGGGCATATCACTACAAATGAAAGTAGCCAATCTTACAGATTGGCTATAAGGATTAACACTTACTATGCACCCTTGAAATGTCTATATGATGCTGTCATTCTAATGTATATATGATGCCATCTATATATAAGTAGAACAATTTGAAGTCAGAATATACAGTGAAAACAAAACAATCTCAAATTGATGTACTGTAAGACTAAAGTTTAAATCAGAAAGCTTCCTAACTGAATTTACTTCACTGAGAATATACTTTCCACTCTTCCTTAGGCTAAGACATTTTCTATCCCATAACTTCTTAGATCTCTATGTCCTAAAAGGGAATGAAGCACAGGACAAAAGTGGACTTTCCAGTTCAGGAAAGTACAGCTGCTTACTTTTGAGACTTCAGATGATAGGATGTGGTAAACTCATTTTATTTTCTTAAAGTTGTTGTTCTCACTGTGGGTCAGAGGATCCAATGATCCAAACACTTCTGCTTTTATTTATTTATTTGAGAGAGAGAGAGAGCACGAAGGGGGTGAAGGGCAGAGGGAGAAGCAGACTCCCCCCTGAGCAGGAAGCCTGATGAGGGACTTGATCCAGGGACTCCTGGATCATGACCTGAGCCGAAGGCAGACACTTAACTGACTTAGCCAACCAGGCACCCGATCCAAACATTTCTTAAAGAAATCTTATAATTTATAAGATTATACATTCCTCCATTGGACAAAGCCCTTGGGACAGAGACTTTTACTTAGCTTTGTATTAACTGTAGTGTCATGTGGATTGCATTGTCATAGAACTTTGCTATATTAAAAATCTCTTCTAGAAGTGAAATTGCTACTACTATATTTCTATAAGTTGGACTATCTATTTGAATTGCATCCCAGCAAAAACAAATGGTAAGGGAGCTCCAGCCACATTTCTTTGATATGATCCCCTTATGACCAATAATCTGCTGTTGCCAAACGGTGGCTATCTCAGTCTGAATGTGGTATGGTATCAAAACAACCCACTGGTCCCTCATGACCTGTACTTCTGACCTAGGATCCAACATCACCAGATTGAGTTCTGGGTGTTGTTGTTGTTATTTGTTTGTTTAAGGAATCTAAAATCAGATCCATTGTGACGATGTGATGTGGTTTGAATACCTAATACTGCACACTTTCATAACTTTGGTTCCCAACCTCTGGTAATAACAACCCCTAACCCCTGCCAAAAGAAAAGAAAGAAAGAAAGAGAAGTAAAACAATGCAGAAGAAAGGCTCACTCAAATAGGTTTGTTTTTTTATAAGGCCTCTCCTTGATCTGGTCTTATCATGTCATGGGAATGTAATCCATTAATGATAAATCTATTTTATCAAGATATAAACTAACTTTTAAGCATTTTTTTGTTTGAAGTAACTCCTCAAATGCAATCACAGCTGCCTGATGATGAATGGATGATTGTTAAATATTAATGACCCACATGAACGTAATTGCAAAAACAAGCTGAGGTTAAATAATACATTTTATGTGTCTGAAAAAGAAATGGTTTGATGATTCACCATTGGAAGCACTGCACACACAAAAAACCCTTGTTTTCAGGAGAGCCAGGTGAAGAGAAGCATCATTTGGTAACTGTGGCTTTACTTATATCTTTCCACCATTTAGTAAATGAAAACCATTTTGTTTTCAATTCCTCAGTGAGTGCTTTAGGAAAGCCCAGCTTTGTTGATTATAAATATGGCACTCTGTATTTCCAAACAGCTTAATAGCCAACATTTCACAATATGCTATGTGGTCACTCCGTTTTTCACATTTTTGAAAGAGGTTAGATGACTGGTTTTGGTTAATTAGGAATCCAAAATTTTATGTGCTGGCTTAGGCCTCTTTTAAAAAATCCATGTGCTACTGTCAGAATATGAGCTAACTATGCATCTGGCCTTTGTGAATTTGCTTATGTATAAAGGCAGAGATTTTCATTCCTCTGGCAGTCTTTTGTCACTTTCAATATATTTTGTTTTCCATCTTTAGCGATCAAATTAAATTGGTGTTCTTTGTCTTTTACTTACTTGAATTTTTATTTATCCTTTTTTATTTTTAAGATTTATTTATTGAGAGAGAGAGAGAGAGAGAGAGACAGCGTGCGAGTAAGGGGGAAGGACAAAGAGGGAGACAAAGGAATCCTCAAGCAGACTCCACACTGAGCGCGGAGCCTGACACAAGGTTCGATCTCTTGACCCTGAGATCATGACCTCAGCTGAAATCAAGAGTTGGTCATTTGACAAACTGAGCCACCCAGGCACCCAGAATTTTTATTTATCCTTTAAAAGACTTTTTAGGCTCCTTTTTCTCTATGAAGCCTTCCCAGTGCCTCCCTTTTCCACTACAGGTTTAACAATTTTCCTCAGCATCTACTTCTGTACATAGCCAGCTGCCCTGTTTTGCTGAGTAAACTGAAGGCAGATCCTACATCTTACTCATCCTTGGCCTAGGACCCAGCACAAACTAAGCACTCAATAAATTTATCTGCTTGAGCTAACTAGCTAGCTAAGAAACTAAAGGAAATTGATTTACAAGGTAAAGGGGAATTGAGAATAATTTTGTAACTTCTAACAATGAACACAACATGTGTTAGGGTGTGGCAATACCATATGAAGGGATTAGGAAAGACATGGAGGCATTTAGGATTATACATTTTGCCAGGACTGCCCTAAAGCACAATATTGACAACTGTTGCAGTACTGGGGGATGATCAGAATGTTCTTTCTCTCAGGACAAAGTGAATATCTTTTAAAACCATAAATATAACATTTTCCTTTAAAAATTTTTTAGTGCTTAAAAAGTTCTCCAAAGTTTTATGATGCATTTTGAGTATGAATAAAGTTACTCAAAATATCCTATTAATGCCCAGTAGGTTTCTATACTTATTTCCCCTTTAAGTTGATGCCCCTCCCCATGTTGTCTCATAGATGAAAAAGTACTTTGGAGTCCTTCTCATTTCATTATCCTGCAGCTTGAGTTTTCATTCATTTCTGTTGGGGGCCCCTCACCTTAATTGCACACACACAGCATCTCCTCTGGTCTCATCCTTGCCATTTGCTAGTGGCAGGATTGGAGCAGCCCCTCCATAGCACTGCTTAACCAGGCCTGATATCCCTATACTGTCACTGGCATTCTGCTCAGAGATCACTTTTGTTTTAGCACAAGCACAGGTGGTGACTGAATAAAAGGTGATGAAAGAAATAAGAGCCTTGCCCAGAACCACTGGCACAAGTCATAACTCGGCCCTGTAAGAGAACAGCCTGGGGCAGGAAGCATGGTCTCTACCTCCAGTCAGCTGGGCCTTATTAACATCAGAAGGAAAATCACACCTGAGGACAGAGGAACATTACTTCTGTTTAAACTCCTAACTCAACCTATGATTCTAAAGAAAGCACACTGCCCTTCAAGGCCTCCCGGTTCTTGCTACTGTGGTGAGCTCGCTGATGCGTGTTCTTCTTGCAAGCCCGCCTTGGGAGAAGGGGAGTGCAGAGGGCAGGTGGCAAAGAACATTCCTACGTTTCAGAAAGTCCGTCCACCCCGGTGTGCCCCTTCTCACCAGATGTGCAGACAGCTGAGGGTGGCAAAGAGAATTCCTGCAGCGAAGGCCATGGGGATCGCCAGGAACAACGTCAGGAACTTATAGATCACGTATTTGCTGATTTCAAAGAGGGCATGGCTGCAAATCCACACTTTGTCAAAGGAGTGTGTAGACACCGGCTCTGCAATCACATCCTCGAAGCCCACCTGCAGAGGCAAGACACAGGAATCCCCAACTGTCACCCAGCCTAAAGCCCGGGAAACCAGGAGTGCTCTGGTGGGAGAAGCGAGGAGAAAGGAGCTGGCTGGGTGCCCTACCTTCTCTTAGGGTGAGGTTGGGCACACAAGAATTTGGCTAAGAATTCCTAGTTACACAGGCGGCCCCACGGCATGTGAATTCCGGGTCCTGGACCCTGGGCGGCTGACCCAGTGGCGAGGGTGGGGGCTGGGGTCCGGGCGGGGGTAAACGGGGCACCCGTGTCCCCAAGCCTTGGCGGGGTCCAGGTTACGGCCCGCCCCCAGGCTTCTTCACCTTGAGATGCGAGTTGAGCCGGTGGGGATCCCGGTCGGAGTCCGAGTCCGCGAACTTATCCAGGTCCGCGTAGTCGACGCCGCTGTGGCGGCTGTAGGCATCGTCGTCCATGAAGAGCTGGACGTCTGCTTTCTCGGTCTCCAGCCCCATCGCAGCGCTCGGTGCGCGGCGGCGGCTGCAGCCCGGCCGGCGCGTCCTCCCCTTCCCGTCGAGCCCGGCCCCGCCCCGCCTCGCCTCTCCCTGCGCGGCCCGGGCGGCGGCTGCTTCCCGCTGCGGGCTACCGCTGCGGGTGGGGGCCCGACTCGAGCCCCGCCTGGCTGCCTGGCCTGAGGGGCGGGAACCGGACGCAGCCGGAGAGGTGGCTCCCGCCCAGAAGAGTCCCGCCGCCACTTCTTGGCCGGGTCCAAGTCTGCCTCCCGGCCGTTAATGCTCCCAACAGGCACATTCCATCCCTGCACAGGCGGGCGAAGCGTGCCCTGGGGACGAGGACCCGTATTCCCGTCACACAGGAGCCAGAGAGACCCCTGGGTCTTACCGCTTAATGCTTAGAACTGGGATTCTTAAGAGCTCTCCAGGGATGATGGACTTCCTGCAGGGAGGCAGCTCGGTGGTTAGGAGCATGGGTATAGAATCACAAGGTTTGTCTTAACCTCCCTGCTCTACCGTTTACTATGTGTGCTCGGGACCTCAGCTAACTCCTTGTAAAATGGGAGCAATTGGGGGCGCCTGGGTGGCTCAGTCGGCTGAGCGTCTGCCTTCGCTCAGGTCATGATCCCAGGGTTCTGCTCAGCGGGGAGTCTGCTTCTCCCCTGCCCCTCCCCGCTGCTCGCTCTCTCTCTCTCTCAAATACATAAAAGTCTTCTTAAAAAATGGGAGCAGTTGTTCCTGCTTCACATAGTTGTCGCTTGAGAATTAAATTCCTGTAGAACTCTTACATGGTCTCTAACACACAGGACACACCTGATTGCCAGGCAATCCCACAAGTGGTAGAAGATCCAGGAAGCACGTCAGCTCTTTAGAGCTGTCCCCGTGCCCACAGATGTGGGAGCCTGCTGTAGGCAAGGTGAGGAAATGGAGTCAGTTTGGTGAGCTCCCTGTCCCTAGGCGTTTGCACTCTCAGAGCAGAGAGGATGTCTCTCTCTCTTTTTCCTTTCTAAATTAAAACTCTTAATTTGCCTTTGAATCAAGCCCTGTTGAAAGATGTCAGTGCAGTCACATCCACAACTACCTGTAGGAAACGTGAACAAACCCCTACCATAAAGCCACTCTGCAGGAGAAGAATCAGACTGCTGAGTGCTCACTCAAAAGCTTTCAGAAGGAAGGATTGTGCATATTTATAAAGGCTTAAAAGTCTGGTGGACTTAGATACTTGTTTGGGGACCGAGAAAGTACTTAGTGAAAATTTGCCAAAAGTAAAAGGGTCTTACACTTGTGGGGGTGCCTGCTGTTTGCTCAGGGCCTAAGACATAGTAGGAACACACTAAGTATTGCTGAAATACAATGTATTTGGAACTTGCTGCACGTATTAAATCCTGGTGTGTGAACTGGATTCGAAGAATTACTTATTTAAAAAAAAAAGACTTTTTGAAACAATAAAAAGCATACACAAAGAGCAGGATCTGAATAGGAAAAATATTTGGGAGCCAAAACTCAATATTTCTAATAATTAAATGGATAGCAGTGTTGTAACCCCATGGCTGAATCTCATGCCTGTCATGGTGCCCCTCCTGTCTCAGAGGTGGTCCTCCTGGCCCATTCTCTTTTCTTACTTTCCTTTCCTAATTTTATTCACGTTCAGTTCATTCCAAAGTGATGACTTACACATTTTGCTTATTGCTTTTTCTATCCCTCTCTACCTCCTCCTTTCACCTAAGCAGACTGACTCTAAGAGTTGGGGCTCTTCTAGAGTTGTTGCCCAAAAACTGTCTATCAAAGTGAATAAAAGAGTTTAATACTTAAGAAAATTCATAATAATGATTACCAGGAAATGGAAAAGAAATGAGTTTATAGCTAACTAACATTTTGTAAAAGTTTATTTTTCTTAAAATAATCCCAGATTTTAAGATACTGCTGAAGAAGAAAGTCATTCCCATAGTGCTAGAGTGACTTTAAGCAGTGGCTGAAAATCTGGCTAAGCTTCTTTCCTTTCTTTGTCCTCTGATCATGTTTACATTTCCAGTGGGATTAGTAAGACATTTGCAATAGTTATCAAAAGTAATTGACTCATTTTTTAGGCATCAGGGCCAGGAGGCCAAAAAGCAGAAGAAATTAACATTGTCTTAATGGGACAGCTTAGATTATAGATTCATTTGTAAAATGATAGGTATTTATGAAAATGTGACTCTAAAACCTAAGCTAAAAGAAACCCATCTAGGTTTGTTGTATTTAGCATAGAGCTTAAAAAAGAAGGATTCACTCATTCATTCACTACAAATTTTTATTGAGCACTTCCCCCATGGATTGATCTGTGTAAGGTTCTTATTCTGATGAAATTCTTGTTCATTTCACCATTCTAATACCAAAGATTTTTTGAGAGGAGCTATAAAAATGATTTTGCTTATCTTATTAGTGGATGCTTAGAAAATGTTAGCTACTGTTCTCAAGGGGTTTAAACCAGTGATTACCAAAGCAAATGGTCCCTACTAACTGGAAGGGAAATCTACCAGGAAAGAGAGAAGACAGAAAGCGGGTTGGAGGTAGATGGCTGAGCACATGCGTTATCTCCCAAATCACATGATCACTCCTTCCATAGCTTTCTTTAGTTTTTTTAAATTGCCCTATAACCAAGAGAACTAAAAAATTTCATAATGAATACATACTGTTACATTCATCTTCTAGCTGTGTTATAGCTTCTGACAGGAGCGCTGATTTTCAGATGGCATATTAATATATTTGAAGAATAACAACTTGATAATTGATTAGTTTTTATTAGTAGGATAGTTTATAATTATTTTGTTCCTCAGTTTTCTCAATGTATTGTCTGAGAAGATTTTTCTGGTTCATTGAAATTTGTATGTGAATGCCTTTATGAATAAAAATAGCTAATTTTTTTCTCTCCACTCTTTTCTTTTCTTTCTTTCTCTTCTTTTCTTTCTTTCTTTCTTTCTTTCTTTCTTTCTTTCTTTCTTTCTTTCACAAATCACAAAGGTTTCCTTTTTTTCCTTCTGTATAGCTTACATACAACTTTAGGGCAGGGTCTGTTTTTCAAACTGCCATTGTGAAATTGGTTATTAATGAAAATAATAAAGACTCCTTAATTTCGCCATACAGTATTATGAGTTAATAATGTTTAAAACATTTGGAGTAGACCAGGTTTTCTCAGCCTCAACGCTATTGACATTTTGGGTCAGATCCTTCTTTGTTGTGAGGGGCTGTCTTATGGATTGCAGGATGTTTAGCAGAATCTCTGCCCTCTGTCCACTAGTTGCCAACAGCACTCCCCAGTTATGACAACCAAAAACATTTCCAGACATTGCCAAATGTCCTCAGGGGACCAACATCACCTTTCTCCTCCTTTCCTAGGCTGAGAACCCTTAGATAGGACATTATTGAAACAGTTTTTCATGTGAATGGGAAAAATTAAGCTCCAGCTGTCCATTTACAAACCCATGATTAAGATAAATCTCAGGGGGCGCCTGGGTGGCTCAGTCGTTAAGCGTCTGCCTTCGGCTCAGGTCATGTCCCAGGGTCCTGGGATTGAGCCCCACATTGGGCTCCCTGCTCGGCAGGAAGCTTGCTTCTCCCTCTCTCACTCCCCCTGCTCGTGTTCCCTCTCTCACTGTCTCTCTCTGTCAAATAAATAAAATCTTTTAAAAAAAAGATAAATCTCAGAATTGTAACACCAGGGGCTCCTGGGTGGCTCAGTTGTTAAGGTTCTGTCTTCTGCTCAGGTCATGGTCCAGGGTCCTGGGATCGAGCCCCACATCAGGCTCCCTGCTCGGCGGGAAGCCTGCCTCTCCCTCTCCCAGTCCCCCTGCTTGTGTTCCCTCTCTCGCTGTGTCTCTCTCTGTCAAATAAATAAAATTAAAAAAAAAAAAAATTTAATGAACACTTAAAATTGTAACACCAATTTGTCGGAAATTCCAGGGATTTTTGAAATTAAACTTAAGGATACTTGTTTGCTCTCTTAAGTTTTCAGAAGAACCCTTTATCATTGATTAGTTACAGATTTTCAATACAATGCTGGTATTATTTAAGGGATACATACACCTCATTTAGAGACCAACAAGAAGCAACTCCCAGGCCCTGTCTACCTTGCAACCTTCAGTTCTTCGCTACCATGGGCCAGAATGGTTTGAATAATTATAACTAGAAAAATGGAAATTTGGGACCTCTTGATTCCCTCAGGCTGTAAGGATTAGTGATTTTTGAGACTCTTTAGCAACTGAATAGCTTTTCAAGGTTTGGGTGACCTTAACAGAGAAGTCCATGGACCTGTTAGTGAATAGCCAGGCAATTACTTAAGCTTCTCTAACCAGACTTGCTTACTATCAGCGAGGACTAAGCCTGAGAAATTTGGAAAGACCGCCAGTGTCCTGTACGACCCATTCTCTCTGTGGATAGTGGCCTTCCCATAAACTGTTTCTTGCATAACTCCCTGTCCGCTAGTCCTTCTTGATCAGTGTATCTTTTCATCCTCTCCTCTCTCCACCCCCACCCTCCAATTATCCCCTCCTCAATACACAGCACAGCCTCCCACAAAAACAATTTAAAGGAACAGATAAGAAAATACCTGTTATTTAAAGTTATTCAATAATCAGCTGTTGTGAGGTGTGCCAGATAGTTGTATGGCATTTAATGAAAGCTTGTTAATTTTTTTTCTTACCTATCACTTGTCTTTTTGTCTACATTCTAGGTAAAATTAGCCTTGTACCAGTGAACCAGGGAAATTTTAGTTTAATATTAAGACATAGTCATTTGTGGGTGCCTGGGTGGCTCAGTCGTTAAGCGTCTGCCTTCGGCTCAGGTCATGATCCCAGGGTCCTGGGATCGAGTCCCACATCGGGCTACCCGCTCAGCGGGAAGCCTGCTTCTCCCTCTCCCCCTGCTTGTGTTCCTGCTCTCACTGTGTGTCTCTCTGTCAAAAAAAAAAAAGACATAGTCATTTGTTTGTAATTAGTGCTGACTTAATCTTCTGGTTCTTTCAAATAGCACCTCCTCTGGCCAAAAACCTCTG